GCTAAGACGGGTGTGCCAGGCTCCTGGAGGGGGGGGCGAAGGGAGGTGGTGGCTTTTATTTAACCCCCTCGACTGTCCTGTGAGAGTTGGGGGTAAGAAATGGTCTCTGGTCCTGATTTTGGCTCTGTTTATCCGTGTTCCCTTGACTCTTCAAAGCAGTCCGATGGCCCAGAGGAAGCCTGAGCGTCCATCACATCTGGTCACTGGGGCTTAGAAGATGGGGGTTAACTTCACAGCCTTGGTCCCTTCCACAGTGTGTATCCTGACTAGCCCTTCAGAGGGAAGGCACAAGGTGGAGGGACTGTCTGCATGTATTCTGGCCTGTGGCACAGAGGCTTTGTGGGCAGAAAGAGAAGATTGTCTCCTTGTCTGCCTGGGAGAATAACAGGCCTTTTGTCACCAGGAAAGATACTGCAGGTGAAGGAAAGATTGTTAACACTTCTTGAAGAGTTTCTATTCTCTATCAAAATATTATCTTGCCCTAACCAGTTTGGCTTGCCCTAACCAGTTTGGCTTGGTGGATAGAGCATCCGGGTTCGATTCCGGTCAAGGGCATGTGCCTTGGTTGCGGGCACAACCCCGGTGGGGAGTGTGCAGGAGGCAGCTGATCGGTGTATCTCTCTCATCGATGTTTCTAGCTCTCTATCCCTCTCTCTTCCTCTGTAAAAAACCAATAAAATATATTTTAAATAAAAAGATTATCTTTTCGAGGAGCTAAAAGCTCTTGGGATTGCCAATGGGGTCAGAAAATCTTACTAAGTTGGGATTTAGCCCGGCTGGTGTGGCTCGGTGGTTGAGCGTCGACCTATGAACCAGGAGGTCACGGTTCAATTCCCGGTCAGAGCATATGCCCGGGTTGCGGGCTTTATTCCCCAGTGTGGGGCGTACAGGAAGTAGCCAATCAATTATTCTCTCTCATCACTGATGTTTCTATCTCTTTCCCTCTCCCTTCTTCTTTGAAATCAATTTTAAAATATCCTTAAAAAAATAAATTTGGAAAAAAAAAACAGTTGGATTTAACTTTTGTAAGGGAGAAGGTAGTGGACCAGTGTGCAAAGCTCTGCGTAGTCTCAGGTCAGTGCCCAATAGAGACCTCAACCTCTTGGAGTGCCAGAGTCAATAGCCTCCCTTATAAGTCATGTGGCCTGGCTTCCCAGCATCAAAAGTCCACCCCGGTGACCCTCACCTCCTATTTTCTGTTTCTTCTAGGATGTTCTGCTGCTCAGTCAGTTCATCCGGCCTCACGGAGGCATGCTGCCTCGAAAGATCACAGGCCTGTGCCAGGAAGAGCACCGCAAGATTGAGGAGTGTGTGAAGATGGCCCACCGAGCAGGTCGAATTCCCCTTGGGGCTGTAGGCGCCACACCCCCATCCCCCCCACCAGCTGCCCCATGTTGTAGCCCCTCCTGGGAGAGTCTTCATTATAATCCCCTCAGTGCCAACCTTCCACCCCCTTGGCTTTCCCTGTGGCCCCCGGGAGCTGCAGAGGGAGCTGCAGAGACCATCTCCTTATATGCTCTTCCCTCCACTCAGGTCTGTTGCCAAATCACAGGCCTCTGCTTCCTGAAGGATTTGTTCCAAAAAAGAAACCTCAACTCAACCGGTAAGCACACTAGGGTGTCAACACCCTGAGCATTCTGCAGGCCCCCAGTTCTCACTGTATTCTGCCGAGAAAGCCATTTTTTGGAGCTCATCCCACAGCCCAGGAAAGCTAGAGTGTTCTTTGGCTGTCCCTCCAGCTTGAGCACCCACCCCCATTGGTCCCACCGAGGCTGCAGTTGCCCTCAGCCCTCTTTCCTCTTCCTTCCCTAATAGGGCACTTAGCACAGAGGCAAGGAGCGTAAGGAGGTTTGCTGGTTGGGCATTAGAATGTGCTAATCCCCTGTTTATGACATCATGTCAGAGCACTTCAAACTTGTAGTATCCCAGCATTGGGTTTATTAAAGGGCAAAATGAGGCTTTAAAAATGGGAGGGCTCTCTGGGTGGGGCCACTTTATAACTGTGCAAGTTGTACACTGCAAAACTTGAAGGCAGTATCCACATCCACATAGACTAGATTGTGAATGGCGCTTCCTAGAATTGTATACTTAACCTGCCCAGCTGCACATGCTGACTCAGGAGGTCCTGAGAAGAGGAAGGCCCCTAGATCCTTAAATCAATCAGTCTGCCTTTCATCCTAACAGGGTGGCACCCTCTGGTGTAGGAGCAGACCTAACGCTGTCATCCTGTTGTATGTTCCTTCCCTTCCCCCATATCTGATATTGCCACACTCTCATACTCCTAGATCTGTAATAACCCCTTATTGAGAGTAGAGCCAGGACTGTAAAACTGATTTTGGTATTTATTCTGTTCTCCTCTATCAGTGGTTCCTCCCTCTTTCAACCTGTCCAGCTGCCACTGGACTTGACCAAAGATTGTTGAAGCAAAGCAAGACTTAACCCACCTAGGAAACCTCCTAGTCTGATCCCTAACATAACCCAGGCACGAGGGTAGGAGTTTAGGCAAATACCAGCCACAAATTGCTGGGGTGGCAGTGCAGGGCCAGAGCTTGGTCTTCATTGATGCCTCACCACCACCCTGGCCCCATGCGTATCTCCACCTGCCTTTCCCACATGGTTAGCTGGGCTATCTGCCCGCAGTCCTGGGGATCAGGACCTAGTAACCGCTTTCTGTCTTTCCCAAATATGCTATGGACCATTTGGGGGTTGAGCCTACCCCCACCCCCTGACTTAGCAGCAGGCCTAAGGACACAATCCATCCTGCCCTCGGGCCTTTGAAGTGAGGCCAGGCTCCCTCCCATATATCCGGTGTCCTTTAACGTGACACAGGATTGATGATGTGTGGGGGCCCTTGGGTTGCAAAAGGCCACGGTGGGGGAGCGAGAGGGGGAGTCAGAGTCCTGGCTGCGATGGAGGTTGATTCCCTTGCGAGGGACTTTATGATTCTGTCCAGAGGCCCTTGGGCTCAGGGGAGCCACACTTCCTCCTTCCTCTGCCCCTTCAGGAGTGGTAGGAAGGAGCCTTAGTTCTTCCTAGAGCTGGAATCTTCCCAAAAAGCTGCTGGAGGCCACCCAGGCACCCCTCCCCCACCAGCTGGCTGCTTCATGTGGCACAGGCATCAGGCCCAGGGCTAGCTGAAGCCCAGCTTCCTCAGGTCACTGCCGGGCAGGGGGGGACACTTCTAGGGCAGCAGTTCTGGAGAACCCGGTCAGCCTGGAGGATCTTCTGGGGTCCTGACATTCCAATGAGCACTCTTTTTGGGAAACCAGCTCCCATATCCTACCTCTTTATCCATCCCCTCTGGAAACTGGGAGATGCTAGCCCAGGGGCCTGCCAGGTATTCCTTTCCTTACCCTTTATTCTCCTGCTGCCCCAGAACCAGCAGCCATAGGAAAAGCAGTCCCTCGGCCTGTCCACTCCTCAGAAGCCTCCCTCCCTGCTGGGGCATTGACATTGACATTGACAGTGACAGGAGACGCAGAGAAGTCCTTCCTGCCCGCCTGCCTCACACTTAGGCCAGCACCTCCCCCAGCTCTTACTCCACTCAGAGCTGTTTCTTTGCACAGGGCTGAGAGCAGAAGACTCAGTTGAAATGTATAAATCAGCAATCATTTTTTTACTTTTATCTAAAAATGTTCGTCCAAGTGTATTTTTTTTTTTATTAAAAAAATCTATCACTTGAGGGTTTTTTGGAGCTGGCTGTGTTGAGTCACAGCCTAGAGTGGAGGCAGGGAGGATCCTGGCCTTTGCCATAGCTGAGCTTTTAGGATAAAGGGTGGGCCTCTCTGGACAGGCTCCAAGTTTCACTCTGAATGGAGTAAACCCCAGCCCCAGCCGACATGAGCCACTGTTCCGGGAACATCAGCGCCCTGGCCACCCCCAAAGGAGGCCAAAGGACTGGGCGGCAGCCATCTTTCCCCGCCTCTCCTACTTACCCCCCTGGGCCCTCACCCTTGGCTCCCATCATGGGTTGAGTGAGGGGCAGGGGCCTACACCAGTTATGGCTGCCCAGGGGAGCTCCCTGAAGGCTGGGGGGGCAGAAGGAGCCAAGTGGGGAAGAGGGAAGGATTCCTCCAGGCCCTTACATCAGCCTCTCCTCTCCCCATGGCTGAGGCCACAGAGGAATGATCTGCTCTCTGAGTAGCCTCTTTCTCCACCTCCTCCCCCAGCAAATACTCATAAACATTGACAACTCATAAAGATCAAGGGAGCGCGTGGCCCTGGGCTGCCTGACCCTGGCCACACACGCTTACGGCAACAAGAACCCAGCCCATCTGTTTACAGCACACTCAGCGGTTGCTCCCAGGAAAAGCCCCTGCTCCTCAAGGAAGGAAAACTAGAGAAAGGGTTTGGTTGGACAGCCACAGCTTTGGCCTGAGGAGGCAGTGCCCACTCTCCCAGCTCCAGCCCGGGCCCCCAGCCTTCAGCCACTTCTTGGTCCTCCCTCCACAGGTACCTGACCCGCTGGTCCCGCCGCTCCGTCAAGCCCATCTACAATAAAGGCCACCGCTGGAATAAGGTGCGCATGGCTGTGGGATCACCCCTCCTGAAAGACAACGTCTGCTACTCAAGAAAGCCTTTGGTGCTGTATCAGGGTTAGAACCTGGCCGGAGCTCCTGCACTCCTGCCCTTCCCACGGCTGGCCTGGCCCCTCCACCATGAAGGACACAAGTGGCAGTGGGCCACCTTCAATGCCCTCCGCCTTCCAGCGGCAGTGCTGGGAGGTGGGGGCAGGCAGGGCAGTTGGGTTCTTTGGCAACTACGATGGTCTCATGGCTAGTTGCGGCCATACTCTGTGCTAGGGGACAGGAGTTTTGCTCAACGAATGTCATAAACCAGGCTCATGTTTCACCCACTGGATGTGTGCTCACTGCGTGGGGGCTTGGGCCTGTTTCCGGCCAGTTACTGAGCAGTCACTGAACTCGTGCTGGGCTGCATAATGCAACTGAAGGGAGTTCATGGGCTGAACAGGTTCCCACCCTCTGTTTTGACAGCTGTTAGTCTGGGGCCTGGGGGCTGCAAGGAGGCGAGTTGGTCTGCCTGGCCTGTGTACAACTCTAATGTGAGTCCAGGAGCTGCCTTCCTCAAAGGGCTTCTGGCCGTCACCTCCCACAGCCATTTCCACCCGCCATTCTCTCTCATGTTAGCACATTCCGATCCTCTGCCACTTGCTTTAGAGCTGGGTCTCCCGGCTCCTTGGGCCTCTCCTCAGAGCCTGGACACCAGATGGAGGTGGAGTGTGGGGAAGCGGCAAGACAGAACAAACAGACCAAACTCACTGAAATGTATGAAAATAATGCTGATGCTCTACATACGCAGTCCCTGGGCGGGCCCCTCCTACAGCATGAAGGGCAAGTCCATGTTCTTCTCACCAGTGCCCACATAGATGTAGCCACAGTTCTTGGTGCCCGGAGCGTGGAAGAAGGTGAGGCCTGGCCAGAGCAGGCTGCGCAGCACCACCAGGGCGTTGCCTCGCTCCATCTGGATGCTCCAGGACCCTGGGGAGGAAGTGAGGCCTGAGTGCTGTGGAGCCAGAGCTCTGCCCGGTGTGCAAGGCCCCAGCTCCCTGGGCAGCCAGGCCCAGGTGCTAAGGTTCCACTCAGAAAAGGGAAGACAGTTTAATTATCCCGGCGCTTTACTCCTCCTGATTGCCTTTTAGCCATTTCACTGTTCATTAAAACCACTTCCAGGGGGAGGGCAAAGGAAATGAAAGGAGGTGAAACTCAAACGGAGTGCATTTTGTTCCTGTCAGCAAGTCTAGTTAAAGGTTGAGTGGGGGAGGAAGCTGAATCCAAAGGGGGAGGGGATTGGAGCCGGTTTGGGGAGACTTTCTCCCGGCTCTGCTAGGGGTAATCACCAGTGACCTTCATTCCCAGTGCAGTTTCCCCCACTTGCTATTTTGCTCTCTCGTACCCAGTCCCAGAAGCCTCTGCTCTGAGATAGATTAGACCTGACCAGGGGCTCACATAGAAGTTGGACCATTTCAGGCCTGCAGCTCAATAGCCCTCTCTGGCTGCTGGTAGACTGGGAGCTGGTGGCGGGAGGGGACTTGGGCTACAGCTAATGAGCCTTTGTCTACCCTGGGTCCTGCCCTGGTTTTTGCTCCCCAGACAGGAGCGGCCCAGCCCAGGGCCGAGTTGTGCGGCCATGAGGACTTGGCGGGAAGGACCTGATCCATCTCCAGAACCGAGGGAGGGAGCCGCTGTGTGGGAGGAAGGAGCCTGGGAAAATCGCCTCTGGATGCAGATCTAGAGCTTCTATTCCCCTGCGCACCGAGGCCCCTCCCGGGCCGGCCGCAGCTCTGCTCCAGACCCTGCCAGAAAGCCAAATGCTTTGAAGGTTTTGGTGTTGGACCAGCCAGTGATGCACTGAGAGCTGTGCTGAGGCCTTCATCGGCTGCCAGCTCAGCCTGGCTGCTTGGCTCCTGCTGCCCCAGCTTCCCACAGGCCTCCTCCAACCATGGCCCACCCTGGTCACTCCACACCCAGCAGCCTCGCAGTTCAGTCCCCACCCACCAGGGGCCACCCTGTATCCAAGAGACCTGACCACCAGGAACCCCTGGCCCTGACAGCAGCTCAGCCCTGCTGAGGGTGCCGTCACCTGCCCAAATCCAAGCCAGAGCTTTCTGGTGCATGTAGGTCAGCTGGCCCTGGCCTGCCTAGGGAGAGGCTGGCGGGGAGCCCACCACAGCTCTGTGCAGTGGCCTGCACCAAGGGCTGCCACCCATGCAAGTGATGAAGTAGAAGCTACAGGGATTCCACTCCCCTCGGCCCACACAGTGCTGGCCAGACAACATCAAGAAGAGTGTCCCCCCGGGTTACCAGAGCTCTGGCTGGGGCACTGCCTAGGAAGGGGGGCGGGTGCTTTCCTGGTCAGGGAAAGGGAGTATTTCCCGTGGCTCCTACAATTTTCCTCTCTGGGCACCTGAAGTCCTCCACCTCCCAGACCTGCCCTAAGAGGCCTAAGGCCCTGCCTGTTGCTTTCCTAGTCATTCAGAAAACATGTCTAGGGGGTAATGGGAGTGGGACAGGCCAGAGAAAAAGATTCCAGGGCACTGCATTCAGCCTTTGGCCAGAAGCACAGACCCCAGGAAGGTACATCCCTTAGTCACCCCCACCCAGTGCCCAGAGCATCATCTGAGGACAGTCCCTCCCTGTCGTTGCTCACAGCCATACAGTCCCCTTGAACTGAGAAAGAGCAGGCTCTGCCCACCAGGGAGGGCAGCTTGCAGCTGCCTGAGCCAAATGCTGCCCTGGTGTCCTCCAGCCTAGACCACTCATCACTTCACTATTGCCGGCATCTTTTTTTTTTCTTTCTTTTTTTGCCAGCATCTTGGCACACCCTGAGCCAGGGATGGGTCCCAACCTTACACCAACCTGCCCACCTAGGGTTTGGCCACCTCTTTCCTTTAGCAGATGAGGGGGCCCAGGCTTATTAGCAGGGCTCCCCGCACTCCCACTTCCAGAGAGCAAGGAGAAACGGACAGGGATGCTAGAGAAATGCAGTGACCCTACGGGGGCAGGGGACAGCAGCGCCAGCGGGCGGAAGGGTGCTGGCCAAGTGTGGAAGCGGCATGTGAGGGGCCAGCCAACAACACTGCCTCCCTCCCTCCCTTGCATTCCTGTCACACTCCTGTCCTCCTCTCCTTGTTCCTGGCTCAGCTGGTTGCCCAGGAAACACACAGACTCTCAACGTGCCAGGAGTCACGTAGTGTCTACCTGGGAAGCCAGGCACTTGCTTGTCACCTTCACCCACTTCTCTTCTTGCTGGAAAGGCTGGGCCCAGCCAGCTGCTGCTGCCTCTGCCCCTCGGGGGTTCCAGGAGAGGTGGCCTGCTGTGGCCCTGGTGTCTCAGTTCACAGCCCAGTCTCCCCAAAGCTCCCCTCCTGCCCCCTGGCGCCCACTCCGTTCTGCAAGCTGCTTTTAGAGGTTATGGTGGGGAACGAGCCGGTAACCAGGAGCAGGGCCCATTGCAATCTGCAGGAAGTGCTGGGTGCCCAGAGCCCCAGGCTCTCACCCACCTTGCTAGTGCGGAAACCTCAGGCGAGGGTATGCTTCTCTCAGTTAAATTCTCCTGCCCTCCAGGAAGAAAGGCAGCAAAGCACTGAGGTTCCGTTGATGGGGACAGTGGACCAGGCTGGGGATCAGGGCTGTCTGGGGCAGCAGGTAGCTTAAACCCCTCAAACCAGCACCATACAACTTGTCTCAGACACAAAAATAGGCATGGGGTTCCGTCTCAGAGCAGCCACCACCAAGGGCCACAAGGTATGGTCAAACCCCCTAGAGCAGCGGTTCTCAACCTGTGGGTCGCGACCCCTTTGGTGGTCCAACGACCCTTTCACAGGGGTCACCTAAGACCATCCTGCATATCAGATATTTATATTACGATTCATAACAGTAGCAACATTACAGTTAAGAAATAGCAACAAAAATAATATTATGGTTGGGTCACAACATGAGGAACTGTATTTAAAGGGCCAGAAGGTTGAGAACCACTGCCCTAGAGGTTGGGGGGTGGGTAGGGTCCTATAGTGGCGGAGGAGTGCCCTGTCTGATTGGTACGGTCAGGACCTGGGTCCAGAAGGCCGAGCACCTGTCAGCCAAGCTTCCAAGGGACTGGGTAGGAGGAGCCACCTGTATACACCCCCAAGAGAAGGCTGATTGAGGGTCCCATGTTCCCCACAACTCTCCAATGTTCCTGTCCCCTTTCTCCCCTGTCCCCCCCCAACGCCTCCCCAAGCACCACCACCACATTTTTAAAGGCTGCTTTCCAGGCAGGCAGGCCCCTTGCTGCCCTCTGCTGCCTGAACTGGGCATTGCTGCTGAGGGCTCTCGTGCTGGAGCCTCTGCTCCCCGAGTTGAGAGAGGCGTCAGCTCCAGTGCAGAGTGGAGCAAGGAGAGAAGCCCTGCCCTCCACCCCTCCTGCTCTGCTTCCCTTGCTGCTCTGCCTGCCCCTCTCTGCACAGGACACAGTGACTTCATTGGTGAGGCACCTTCTACTTCACATTTCCACTTCTCATCCTGTTTCATTTATCTTTCCAAACCTGCGTGAGGCAAGGATGGTGCCTGTCTTGTTCACAAGGATGTCCCCAGTGCTTGGCGCATAATAGCTGCTCAGTGGCTATTGCTGATGAAGTGAAAGGTTAAGGAGCATGGACTGGCAGGGAACTATCTAGAAATCTGGCCTCCTGACCTGGCACTCCATCTGTTTCCCCGGCTGCAGCCCAAACTCACAACTATTAGCTGTTTGCCTGCATCCACCAGGAGGATGGTTCTGCCCCCAAAGCTACTCACTCCCACAAAACTGCAGACCCAGGGCACGACAGGACAGCTCAGCAGGGCATCCTGGCCCCAGCCTGGCCCCGGGCTGATCTCCAAACTGACCTCCATGGGCACAGAGCAGGAGTCCCAGGGACAGGGCCAGCCTGTGCCAGACCTGCTCACAAGTGACACGAAGTCCCCTGAATGACTGCCTCAGACCCAGGAAGGAATTAATGATCTTTCCTGGGCGGGAAGTTCCATCCTGCCGACCAGTGCTGGTGTCCCAGGGAACTCTTCCTTGGGCCGCCTTAGCAGCCCAGCCCATTCCCTGCTGTCTGCCTGGCAGAGAAGCCTCCCAGCAGCTCCTCCTGCTCTTTAACTGGCAGATAAGGGAGGGAGTCTGGGAGCTAAATCAGTGTCCGCTCTCCTTGACGACACCTCCATCCTACACCATGGCCCCCACCAAGCCCCAAGCCGTCGTGAGAAAGGACGGGGCCTGGCTTCCTGGAGGCTTCCTGGTGGTGGCTTTGGGAGGAAGGGAGCTGGAGGCCCAGAGCTGTGAGGTTTCCCAGGGTCAGTCCAAGAGCATCCCTCCCCTCAGGCCCACACACACAGGAGATGCCAGGGGCCCTCAACTCCCAAGGCCTCAGCACTGAGGAAAGAGCGACAGGCTGGAGTGGACTGGGATGTGAAACCATCAGTTGATCCTTCAGCCCTGAGGTCCACCATTAGAGCAGAAGGTCTAGGGCCTCAGGCCACTGCTACCCACTCACCTCCCAGGCCCAGATCCTGTACCTCCCAGGGGCCTGATAAAGTCACTTGCTGACTGGACATATCAGGGTGGCCCCAGCATCCTTTAGGGAGACCCCCAGTGCTCCCTATCTTATACCCCCTGCTGCAGGGAGACAGCTGCCTTCTGTGTCCCCTTTGCCCCAAGTGGCAGGGCAGACAGGGCTGGTGGGATTCCCATAGGAAGACTGTTGGACCCCCACAGCCCATCTAGCCAGCTTTGGTCTTGACTGCAAAGGCCCTGGCACCCTCCTGGCCCTCCCATCGCAGAGGAAGAGGCTCTAAGGGTGGGAGGCACTCTCGTGCCAGCCCCTCTGATCACCCAGCACGATGGGGACAGGGCCTCGCCCACTGGCCCTGGGCATCCGGCTGTAGGTGAGAGGGCTGAGAAGTCAGCACCAAGCAGGGCTTTCCAGACTCACCTTGAATTGGGAGGTGGGGCTGCTGCACCCAGAGTAGGGGTTTTAACAGCACTTTTCTCCCCCACCCTTCAGCCCCTGGCGCTGGGTCCCACCATCACCACATTCCTGGCTCCCTTTATCAACCATCGCCCCCTCCCCCCCTCTGGGATGTGCGGCTGAGAGCATAGAGTTGGAGGAGATAACTGGAGTCTGGAAAGGGTGTCTCATGGGTGAGAAATGCCCCAGCCCCTATAAACCTTTATCTCCCCCACAGGTCCAGGAATCCCTTTCCATGCCCAGGGAGGCTTGCCTCGAGCACCCCCATGTGGCCAAGGCCAGCGTAGCCATTCTTTGCTGGCAGCCCTTACCCACTTGGGGCCCACTGCCTGGCCCCTTGGGCATTGCAGTAGCTCTGAAATGCCTCCAGATCTCTGGCTTGCCACTTCTCCATCCATCTGGGCACCACTCCCTTATTATCACAGACCTGTTCACAAGACACCAGAAGCCCCTACTGCCTTGATCTAGGCCTCCTACCCTTGGCCCTCTAGGCCCTCCTAGGCCCAGCCCACCTCTAAGGCCTTTTTGCCACTAAAAACATATCAATAAGTCCTGGCCAGTATGGCTCGGTTGGGAGTCGTCTCCTGTACCAAAAGGTTGTGGGCTCTGTCTCTGGTAGGGAGCATGCAGGAGGCAGCCACATCGATGGTTCTCTTTCTCTTTCCCTCTTCCTTCTCTCTCTGAAAAATTTTTTTTAAAAAAAGAATACACAACAAGCATATATATATATATAATTTTTATGTGAATTCTTATGCGTTCAGCACTGTTATAATTATTTTGTGTTATATGTGTTAACTCTTAATTCTCGTAACAACCCAGTGAGGTAGAAAATATCATTATTCCCCTTTTTAAAATGAGGAAATTGAGGCACAAGGCAACTGAGGGGCTTACCCAATGTCACACAACTAGCAAGTGACAGATTCAGGATTTGAACCCAGGCTGTCTAATTCCAGAGCCCTCACCTTAACCACCACTGCCATCCCACCTCCATCCTGAGTTCCAGCCCAACTGGGTGCCTCATTGCTCCTCAAATATAGTGTCAGTCACCGGTGACTGGTTGGGCGCCTAACGTGTTAAAAGGAAACACCATCACCCTGACAGGGAGGCTCAGTTGGTTGGAGCATCATCCCATGCACCAAAAAGGTTTCGGATTCGATCCCCGATCGGGGAGCATACAGGAGGCAATGTGATGTTTCTCTCTCACTCTCTCCCTCTCTCTCTCTCTCTCTCTCTCTCTCTCTCTCTCTCACACACACACACACACACACACACACACACACACACACCAGTAAAACATATCCTCGAGTGAGGATAAAAAAAAGGGGGGACACCATCTCCTTGATACCACAGTTAATGCCAGAGTCCTGAAGTCTCCTTCTCTGACACTGTGCCCTTGGGTTTAACTATCTGAGCCTCTGTTTCTTCATCTATAAAATGGGGATAATAACAATATCCACCTCTTAGGTTGGCTGTGAATCTTAAAATGAGATAAGGTATAGAAAGGGCTGAGTACAGTGCCCAGCACACAGTAAGCAGTGCCTCTGCTTTTATGTTGTTATCATTGCCATCATCAACAACAAATCCCTCCAGGTCTCAGAAATGCAGACGTGCAGACAGAAAGAGTTAGAGGCGCTGAGTCAGTGTCTTGGGTGCGCCCCAGGTTGCCCAGAGCCTGGCACCTGCCCTGGGGTCCGGCATCCAAGCAAGAGCATCTTCCCAGACACGTGCTCTACGGTGAAGCTCAGGTGATGGAAATGGGTCTCTGTGACCCAAGCACCCGCAGGTGCATGCCTGGGCCAGGTGTGTCCCGAAGCATGGGAAGGCCGCTGAAGCCGTATGTTTTAAGATTTAAAAGTCCCATACACATAGCAGGAGGCAAATATACACAACTCATATCCTTAGCAGGGGACGCTCAGTCAATCAGCACCTACATATTGAGCACCAGCTATGTACCAAACACTGGATCTAACCCCAAACTGACAGAGATGGATGGATGTCTCTATTCAAGATTGATATGAAAATCAGGAGACACTGAGAGACTTCTTGTCTGTGAAAGCGTATGGAAGACAACCCTTCTGTGTGCAAACATTTACCCACCGCTTCCTATGAGCTGAAACTTGTATTGGACCCTGGGGAAGCCCCACACTCAACCACCATTTCCTGCCCAGGCTTTGGTCCCACTCTCAGAGGAGAATGGCAGGTGCATGGCCTACTGCTCTGGCCTGAGGGCAGATCCAAGGTCCTCCAAGTAATAGGCTATTACCTTTGGGGATGTCATGCTCCAAGGAGTCCATGAAGTCCAGGGAGGGGTCCAGGTCTGCCTTCTCAAGCAACGTCTTGTTCTTCAGGTCAACTGGCTCCCTGAAGTGGAAGTAGGAACTGAGCTTCTTCGCTTCAGACAAGGTCAGTCCTAAAAAGAGGCAGCAGGTGGGGAGGGAACCCCACAGCTCACTTCCTCTGTGCATGGGGGACACGTGGAGGAGCTTGCAAATGACTCAGTCAACTACTGACAGAACTGAAGGGAGAAGAGGGAACAGTGCTCCCTCCACCCAAATCTGGCCCAGATCCTGCAATGAGGAGAGACCAATGAGGAGGAAGGTGGGAAAGACCTGAGAACCAGGTGGCCAAATGCTCTCCCACCCGCAGGCAGAAACGAGGCAGGGCCCAGTGACTGGATCCGCCATGCCAACCACCGATGCCAGGTCACTGGACACATCCTCCCAACTCATGTGGTCACGGCTGTTGCTTTTCTGAGGAGGTGGGCAGTTCTGCTCAGACGCCCACATGTGTGTCTGACTATGCTCGGGAAGAGAGGCCCTCCTGCCCGTGAGAGAGGCGCCACAGAACTCACCTTCAAAGGTCCGATTGACATGGGTGGGTCCAAAAGGGCTCTTAAAGAGGGCGCCGCGGGGGATAATGGCCACCGCCTTGTCGATCTGGTCAATGATGGACACCAGGCGGGTCTCCTCCTTGATCCGGATCTGAGGAGACAGGAGACAAGCCTCCCTGCCAGGGCCCTGTGCCCACTCACCCCCGGGGCAGGGCCCTCTGCACAACCATCTGGCCCGGGTCACCACCGTGTAGATGCCCGGTCCGTGAAAAATCATGCTGGGTGAGCCCTCCCTCTCCTCCTATCAAGATTTTCTTTCTTTTTAAAATTAGTAATACATACTGGTGGTGCAGTATTTAAAACTAAAAAAAAAAAAAAAGCCGTCTCTCTCACCCCATCCCTCGTCCCCCAATTGCCCTCACTGGGGGCAGCCACAGTTAATGGTTTCTGTACTCTTCCAGAAGCATACCATCTTGTCATCAGATTTAAATGCTGATTATTTTGCCTTTCGAAAATATAAAAGCGATCATGCTTACTGTAAACTACTTGGGTAATCAGAAATATTTTGTAGTATACCTGAGAATCAAAACCATTCATAACCCTACCTCCTAAAGATAATTAGTGATAACATCTTGGTATACTTCCTTCTATCCTTTTTTTAATGATATATTTAAAGCACAATTAGAATCACAGTTTCTATAGTTTCATATCCTACTCTTTGACTTGACAAAGCATCACCCCATATTTCCCAAGCATCACCCCATATTATCACATCTTTATGCCGATGAGATTTGGTTACAATCAATATCAAGGGCAACCCCAGCAAAAGGCTCTCATAGGGATGTTGGGGAAAACATGTCACCAAGGGCCCCCAGAGTCACTCAGCCCCCCATTTCCCGGGGGCTACCAACTGGAATTCTTTACAAAGGGGGAGATGGAAACGAATATTTAATAAGTGTCTAGGCTAGGGGGTTCAAAAAATGTCATCTCATTTAATCTGCACAAGCCTGGGGAGCAAATACAATGATCCAAATTTTACAGAAAACTGAAGGGAAGTTAAGCTTGTCAGGTGGGAAGGGGTGGGTGCTGGACCCAGACTTTGGGCATCACCTAGATTCAAGTGCAAAGACTGTGTTTTGAATTCAGGGTTTGTCTAGTTTCAAGACTTGGGCTCCTTACTTTTTTGACCTAGCTTTCCATTTCCAGGAGTTGGTCATCCAGACAGACTGCATACCATGGAAATGATGTATGTACAAGATCACTGCTTGTCCAAGCTAAACCTTGGAAACCTCCATTTCCATGAAAACATCACGGGTTAAATTATGTTGCATTCGCACATGGTAAAAAGAGTGGGGAGGAGCTTTAAGGCACTGACATGGAAAGATCTCCAAAATGTATTGTTGGTAAAAAATGCAAAGTACAGAACTGTGTGTATAGCATGCTGCCATTTGCTTTGTTTCGTTTGGAAGATAACAAGAGAATATGTAGAGGGAAGGTATTTGCTGTCTCAGGTGACAGAGCTTCTCACATTTAAACATGAATTCGAATCCCTTGGGAATGTGCTAAAATGCAGATCCTCATCCCCCATCCCCCATTATTCTGCATTTCAAACGCCTAGAGCAGTGGTGGGCAACCCCTGGCACGCGTGCCAAACATGGCACGCCAGTAACTTTTGCTGGCACGCAAAACCCTCTCTTATAATCTTCCATTTACAATTTTTTTCTTAATATCGACTTTTTTATTTTTCAGATAAATTCAGTGTAGGTGCATCTTAGATAAATAAATAATTTTACATAACAAGTTATCTTAAAGACCATAGACATGGATTGACGAGAGAGGGGAAGAGCAATTTCTATGCCTCTGCCTTAACTCTCCCTGCCTTCTTAGATCCGACCAGTGTTTTGGTTTCATCCACATACGCTTGTGAATCTTTGTTCTCAGTGATGAATTTTGTTAAGTCTCGTAATAGGAGTAGCC